TCCAATCAATTCTTATTAGTTTGAATTGAATTTATTCATTAATCATGTAATTAGAAAGGCAAAAATGCAACAAACAACCCTGATTAATAGGATAAGCCATAAAAAGTGGGTCCCATAAAAACGATTTAAATTTGCACAAAGAACAAAAAACACACACAACGTCTAAAAGGAAATAAAATGCAATGAAAAATTGGTCTAAACATGTTTTTAAAATGTTATATAAGTGGAGAGGGGTATACCGTCTTACCAAACAATTTGATGCCTCATGTTTACGGGCACTATTCGTTATCAAAGTCATTCAGCTTAACAGTAACTGTGTATTACTCATCTTTTTCATATTTTGTTTTCCCACTCTGGGCATGTATCTACTCTGATTGGCTGAAAATGAAGAGCATCCATACGTCACGGTGTAAAGCCTGGCTGCCAAAATGCGGTTACAAGGACAACCTTGTAGCAGTGAAGAAAAAAATTAGGTCAGCGGATGCGATTTGAAGTATTAACAAGAATAAAAAAACATTCAAAATCGCATATTTTCTGCTTATTTTCACCGTTTTTGTACCAAATACCAGTTCACCTGATTAATTACGATCGGTCGTACATTTAAAACAAAGGAAATATTTATGCATTGTACTATAAGTGCAATAAAATGAGATTAGTACTTAATTTATCGACAAGCCCAAAGTTTTCGCTTAAGCGAGAATTTAGGTCTGGTACTTAATTTCCCGATGGTACCTGAATTCTCGTGACACCGGCCATGCGATTCTGCGCTGTATTCTTGTTTTATTCTTTACTGATTCATGATTATGCTTTAATTGTTTTGTGTATTATTTGGATAATAGCAACGATTTCTACTGCCACCTAGGAGGTTATGTATTCACCGATGTCACTGTCTGGGTGTCTATTCCAGTTTGTTTTTATGTCTAGTATCTTTGTTGAGAATTGATAATAAAATAGGCGACGACTTGGTAACAAAAACCATAGCAACCAGACCATAAACCGTCAGCGTACGTGACGATTTACCCAGGCGCGTGTTAGTTGCCATGTTGGTCGCGCGTCGTGCGGTGATTACAAAGGCCTAATGATATTTTGCACTAACATTAGACTGAAATATATTCTTCATTTCAACATTAATTTTACCAAAATTGTGGTGAATTATCGTTCATGAGACTCACTTCGCAGAAAAAATTAATAAATGTTCCGTATATACTCAAATGTTCGTCCTCGGCACCTTATGCCAACATTG